CATCTTTTTTCTGTGGAGCAGCTGGTGGGCTTGAACTGCTGACCTTGTGGGTAGCAGCCACACACCTTTCCACATTACCACCGGGATGCCTACATACAAGCTCCCATCGATTAGTTTTTTCCTGAAACCAGTCACAAGTCTGTCACTTACAAGCTGACATTCTCCTGGATGGCCCTGAACTTGGGGTCCAGCCTTGAACACCGGAAGCCCGGCTTTAATGCATCTACTCACCAGCTTTAATGAAGCCATACACACCCCTGGTCAAGTGTGAGAAGACAGAGTCCATGACTCTGTGCACACTTCCTGGAGGAATGTGGCCAGGGTGTTTCTCGCCTTCCCTGGCCAGCAGTGCCTGCCCAGCTGACTGGAGCGTGTGAGCCCACGTGCTGAAAACCAGAGCCCTGCGTCGGGGTCACGCCAGAGACGAGAGCAGAGTTCCCAGAAACGGCAGGCTCGGGTTTCCTCAAGAATGTGCGGGGAGGGTGTTTCTGGAGCTGAGGGCTCAAGTTTAAAGCAACAAAAATACCACCAAACATACAACAATTTGTTTTTGGAAGGGTTTTGGGATCCTGAGTTTGGATCCAATGCCTGAACATGCCTATGGAACCTCTCCCGGAACACGATCTGTTAGGGGAAGAACATGGACCTCACAGCCTCACCCGCAGCTGAACAGAGACCTGGGGGGTAAGCCCAGGGGTGGTGCTTCCAAACTCTGCAGGTGTCGCCTGGCAGTGGACAGGGATGGAGTGGCAAGGCTTTCCCAGAAAAGTTGCCTGCTTTCTCTCCGGGTTGATAACCAGCACAGATGTGAGGGTGGCCCTCCGCTCACGCCTCTGTTCAGCAGTGGCGGTCTTGGTGTCTTGGGCGAGCTAATTCTATTCATCTGAGCAGGAACCAAACGTGGCAGGGCCAGGATGCCGTGAGTATCCCCCAGCCTGGTCCCAGCCTCTGTCTAGGCCTCTCGTGGTCGCCTTCACCCTGTCCCCGACCTAAGCAGCCTGGAGATGGGTTACTGTCACAAGAAACGCAAGTTCTCACTGGGGAGAAGAGCCAGCCATTCAGGGACAGCACTGTGTGACTCATCCATAGCGTTAGGGACGGGCCATCAGGGAAAGCTGCTCAGGAAAGCTGATACGTGAATTAGCGCGGAGGGTGGGGGACCTCATGGGACCCACTGCAGGAACTTGTCAGGTCCCCAAGGCTTTGTAGGTTGGGAAACAGGACCTGTCATGGTCCAGGGGACAGAGACAGTTCCAGGAGCATCCGCGCAACCGTGCGCATCCACAGGCGGCCAGCAAGGGGCTTTGTGCACGAGCCCTGGGAGCGCTCTGTGGGCTGTGGTGTTGATGTGAGGTGCCGTGGAGGAGGTTCTGGCTTGAGGTGACCCCGAGCTTGACAGAATGACGTGGGGCCCAGTCGCGCTCCAGCCCCCCGTCACTTTGTGCTGGAGCCGTGTGGCAGCCGCTGTGTGGTCCATCTCACGGAGGGTCTTCCTTCGCTTGGGGTCTCTCTGCGTTATCAAGCATGAGGTCGTTCTCCGGGGGTGGTCCCTTCTGACAGCATGGCCAGCGGACACGAGCTGAAGCCTCGCTGTGCTCGCTTCCAAGGGGGGTCCCAGCTGCCTCTTCTGAGGCTGATGTGGTCGGCCTTCTGACGGTCCGTGCCACTTCCACTATTTCCACCAACACCATGATTCAAAGGCGCCAACTCTTCTCACTCTTCCTGAGTCATTGTCCAGCTTTTGTGTGTGTATGAGGTGGTTGAAAGCACCGTGGCTTGGGTCAGGAGCACCTTAGTCCTCAAAGTGACCCCCTAGCTCTGGAGCATTTATGGGTCTCCTGCAGCAGATAACGCAACACACTGTTTGATTTCCTGGCTGCTGCTTCCAGGCACGATGGTGGTGGATCTGAGTAAAATGAAATCCCTGACCGCCTTTTGGGTCCGGGGCTGCAGAAACCTGTGCAGAGGACAGGGAGGACTTGGCCAGGAGGTGGCTTATGCCGTGGATGGCTTCCTTTCTCTTCTGGTTTTATTCTCGTGTAGAAAATCTCAAGCCCACCTTACATCTTTGTTCTTTTTCCTCAACCTGATGTCTTTTCTGGTGGCGTAGTGCCTCAGGCACTTGACTGCTAACCAGAAGGCTGGCGGTTCAAACCCACCAGGCACTCCTCGGAAGGAAGCTTGGGCAATCTACTTCTGTAGTGATACCACCTCGGAAACCCAAGGAGGGGTCGCTGTGAGTTGAAATTGACTTGATGGCAGTGAGTTTGTTTTTTTTAAATGTCTGTTCAGTTGCTTTGCTGCTGTTTGCTGGGTGTTGGGAGCACCAGCGTAAGCAAGGCAGGGGCCGTGTGGCTCCAGGAGCGCGTCTGTGGGGCAGCCATACCAGGGTGGGGGCAGCACTGCTTCCGGGGACACAGCCCTCAGCTGGATCGTCCAGGATGAGTCCATGGCCTCTCCCAGGGGTGTGAGAGCAAGATGCCACACACTGGGTGGCTTTCAGCATCAGGAATGGATTCTCTCACTGCTGGAGCTGGGCGTCTGAGGCGTGGTGTCGGCGTGTGGGAGGGAGTGGGACGCCTGGCCTTCCCGTGGACTCGGAAGGTGTCTGTCCCGGAATGGAGACCACATTCGGGAGTGTCTTTGCAGCTCAGCACCCGCCCCAGGGACGGCATGGCGAGCTCTCCGGGTTTGCTCTCCCCTCTTGCCCAGTCTCAGGGTGGACCTGGCTTTGTTCTGTTTTCCTGGAACAGCTGGGAGCTGAGCAAGCAGATGACCAGAAACATGACCCTGGGCTCTGGGTGGGGAATGGACCTTATCCCAGCGCGAGTTGGAAGCCAAGTGAATTTGGATCTGTGTGTGGAGCTCACATCTTAAACCGCTGCACAGATGTCCACAGCGTGTCTCTTTGGCCCCGAAAGGGGTTGAGTTTAACTCAAATTGCAGTCAAGTTCCAAAAGAGTCTAAGACATTTTGAAAGATCTGCCTGCCTGCTTTTCGTGATGAGATCAGCCCCACACGTGCCGGAAGTCTGTTGTGGTGTGGACTGCGGGTCCCGCTGGCCAGGACTGTGCCCAGAGCGCTGTGAGTGTTCAGAAGTTAGAGTGGGGCAGAGGCGCGACTGTAGCGGTGGCTGTGAACACCAGTAACTACAGAAGTGTTGCCTCCATGCTGGCAAGTTCCACACGTCATCATTGTAGCTGCTTTCAAGTCAGCCCTGGGTCCTCGGGACTCTGCACATCCAGACACGAGCTACCCGGTCCTGCACCATCCAATGGTCACTTGTGATTGGCCCGTGGGTCTTCAGTGGCTGATTCACAGAAGTAGCAGGAGAAGCCACTGCTGGGCATTTAGATGGACACCCCGGGCAGTGGCAGTGTCGGTGGGGAGAAGTGAATGGACAGAGGTAATTCTGGAGAAAGAGCACGTGTGGCTGACAGATTAGATGCTGATGGGGTGGGGGTGGGGCAGACTGCACGAAGACTTCTGGGAGCTCTCTGTCCCCAGCAGTGGGTGCCTGGTGTTGCCACAGAGATAGGGGACGATGGGGAGAGAAACGGGTGGGTGAGAGACATGCCCAGTGACCAGTCAGAGCATGAAATGAATTTGGGGGTTCCTGGGAAAAGGTGGTACTTGCAGTCAGGAACTGGACAAGGTCACCAAGGGGGCGGGTCACATGAAGAAGCATGGAGACCAGGATAAAGACCAAGAGCCCTTGAAATGTGGGCAGAGCCAGCAAGCAGAGCCGGTGTGGGGGATAGCACCCCATCCCCCCAGTGGAAGAGGGTCTCTGAGGGTCACAGCTCGGAGTCCTAAAAAGAGGTGGCAGAGCCAGTTTGAGCAGATGGAGCATTATCAGGGAACTTACAGACAGAGGTTGGCACCAAGCATCCCACACGTGGCCTGGGGAGAGGTGTTCAAATCATGGCAAGAGGCAGGTGTTTCTGTATCTAGAGCTTATCTGCAGGACCAGAAAACAGATGGATGGGGTTGGTGTTGAACGGGCTAGTGGGCTCCAGCTGACGTTACCATGGAGTCAGGTGTCTGTAGCGTCTTTTTGCCACCCCAGATCACAGCTCAGTCAGGTACCTGGTTCTTCCCCAGAGTCCTCTGGGGGCAGGACCCACCTTGTCTCGTTCGTGTTCTCCCAGGAGGACAGCCAGCAGGGACAAGGCAGTGTCCAATGAGACAGCTTCAGGAAGAGGAGGCTGAGAGGGATCAGGGCGTGGAGGAGAGAGAACTCCTTCTAGAAGCTTCACGGAAGGGGAGCAGAGAGATTTGGGGGGTGACTGGAGGGCAGCGAGAGGAGATGGACCAAAGGAGGGATTGTCTCAGAGATGGAGGGTAGAGTTCAGCAGGGTGGGCAGGCTGGCTCCAGAGGGAGACGGCTGCTTCGTCATGGTAACAGGACAGTGATGCTGACAAGGGAGGTGCACGTGGCGGGAGGGGCTGGGGGTTCCAGTGGGCCCGCTGCGCATTCTCTGTGAACAGCCAGGACAGCAGTTACTGGCTGGTGGCTTTCTTTTCCCTTGTCACGTTATTAGTTTTTTTATTAGCTGTTAGGAGCCATTGAACCAGCTTCAGTGCGTTGAGACCCAGTGTACCCAGAAGGACATGCTGCCCTGTCCTGCATCAGCTTCCTAGTCCTTGCTGTGTCCAGGCCCGTTGTCATGGCCGCTTTGTCAGCCCACCTTGGCGAGGGTCTTCCCAGTGGGAACAACATGGGTGTGCCAGTGACACTGGGAAGGGACCTCTGCCATGTGCATGTTCCCCACTGGGTCCATGTGACTTGTATCTTCCCAGGATCTCATGGACGTTTGGTGGGCGGGTGCGCGTGTGCACACACACAGGTGATTTCCTGCATCCGGGACCTCAGCACCCAGGGCTTTGAGCCTTCGGGTTTTCTGTCACTGGGTCACCTCTACCCAGCTCCTCTTGGGGTTCAGCCCTGTACGTGTCCCTAACCTGAGCATGCTCCAACCTGACTGTGCTTCTTCTAGGTGATAAAGGAGGTGTACAGCGGCTGCAGTGGGCCTGTGGACTCCTCCGAATGCCCGCCCCCACCAAGTTCCCCCGTGCACAAGGCAGAGCTTGAGAAGGTAAGGGTCTCGGGCATCGCTTGTGATACAGAGCCGGTGAGATACATCCGGAGAGAGAACAGGAGGGGGCAGGAGGTTGATTTGCTTCAAGGAATTGATTCACTGTGGATTAGGGCTCAGACTGGGGGTCCCTAGGTCAGGTGACCTGCTGGACACTCCAGCAGGGTTGCATCCCAAGATCCATAGGTCAGGACAGGAAGAGTGCAGAGAACAGACAAATCTGCCAAAACATCTGTTCATAGTCTGGAGGCAGAACACACCATAAGGAGACTCCACTGTCAACTGATGAATTGATCACATCATGTTACATTGTATTACATCACATCATGGAGGTGATTACATCACACCACATTATCGGGGGTGATTACATCATGTCACATTATGAAGAGCGGTTACATTACGTCACATTATGGGGGGTGGTTATATCAAATCACATCACATTGTGGGGGTGATTACATTACATCACATCACATTATGGGGGTGATGACATTACATTATGGAGGGTGATTATATCACACCACTTTATGGGGGTGATTACATTACATCATGGAGGGTGAGCACATCACATTATGGAGGGTAATTACATCACACCACATTATGGGGGGTGATTACATGTCACATTATGAAGAGTGGTTACATTACATCACATTATGGAGGGTGGTTACATCAAATCACATCACATTGTGGGGGTGATTACATTACATCATATCGCATTATGGGGGTGATGACATTACATTACGGAGGGTGAGCGCATCACATTATGGAGGGTGATTACATCACACCACATTATGGGGGTGATTACATTACATCATATCGCATTATGGGGGTGATTACATTACATTATGGAGGGTGAGCACATCACATTATGGAGGGTAATTACATCACACCACATGATGGGGGGTGATTACATGTCACATTATGAAGAGTGGTTACATTACGTCACATTATGGAGGGTGGTTACATCAAATCACATCACATTGTGGGGGTGATTACATTATATCACATCGCATTATGGGGGTGATTACATTACATCATGGAGGGTGAGCTCATCACATTATGGAGGGTGATTACATCACGTCACATTGCATTATGCAGTCATTACATTACATCACAAAAGAACAGCATCTAGTCTAGCATCGGATCAAGCCAGCACAGTGACTCTCCGCAGACCCTGCTGGGTGCACACGGCCTGTGCCCCTCCTGAGCTTTGGTCATCCTGAGCTCGGTCGCCTCCTGTCTTTTGGAATAACGTGCAGTAACAGCACTCACAGCAGTGTTGTGAAGCTTGAACACAATGATGGGAGACAGTCCTGGGGCCAGGACCCACTACAGTAGGTGCTGAATAAGTGCACCTTCCCCACTGGCCAGGCCCAGGCCCCGCCCTGTCTGCCCCGCTCTCGCTCCCTTTCCTCGGTGACGGCAGAAGGGGAGCCAGCAGTGTGGGCCGAGGAGCCAGACTCTGGGCAGGCCCGTCCCCGTCCCGCTGCATGCCAGCGTCCCCAGCTGCCCTTCATTTCCTGTGCTTGACCAATCTCTTTTCCTCGGGACCCTGGGCTTCCTGCCAGGCACTGTTCTGTGTGGGCTTGCGGCCGAGGCCCCCCCCACCGAGGCTCTAGTCGGGCCCCTGACAGCAGACAGACCCCTTTTTGTCTGTCCTCATCCTGATTTGGGACATAGCAGCCTGTGGGAGTTTTCCTGATTGTTCAGTGACTGCTGACTCACTTCAGAAAGTTCCAGAAAACATCTGTGGGAGTCACTCATCGGTCCACTGCTGGGAGGAGCCCATGCCGCCCAGCACTCTGCATTTCTTCTGTCAGTTTTGTTTGTTTCTCATCGTGTGTTTCTCTGAAGGAGTTCTGGTGGCACAGCACGTCAGCACTGGGCTGCTAACTGAGAGGTTGGCAGTTGACACTCGCCCAACAGCTCTGCGGAAGAAAGGCCTGGTGATCTGTCCCCATAAAGATCATGGCCTAGAAAACACCACGGGCTGTTCTGCTCTGTCACGTGGGCTCGCTGTAAAGATAACGCCTAGGAAACACCACGAGGCGTTCCGCTCTGTCTCGTGGGCTCGCTGTGAGTCGGAATGCACACGACCGCCCAGAGCAGCAACAGCTCTTGCACTTTCTGTGGCCTTGTCTGCAAGATTCCTTGTACCACTTTTTCAGTTACTTTTGTGTTACTGGCTTTTGTCTAGGTTTTTCTGAAATTAGCACTTAACACCCCCATTAATAATACAAGGCCTGGAAAAGCACTAACGATACAAGGTGAGTGAGACAGCACACCCTCAGCCCCCTTCAAGAGGCGTGCGTCGCCGTCAGCCCCCCCAAGAGGCGTGCGTCGCCGTCAGCCCCCGCAAGAGGTGTGCGTCGTGGCTCAGTGGGAGAGTCCTTGCCTTCCGTGTGTGAGACCCCAGGTTGGAGTCTCGGTCCGCGCCTCACGCACAGCCACCCCTCCCTGTCTGAGGAGGCTCCCGTGTGGCCGTGGCACTGGCAGGTTTCAGTGGGGCTTCCAGATGGAGAGGGACGAGGAAGAGAGGCCTGCGGTCAGCTTCCTAAACTCAGTGGCGCCCCCTGTGGACTGCAGTGATCCGACCCTGAGCTGCTCCTGGGCGGTGCAGGGCCGGGCAGCAGGCATTCTGTGTGCGGTCACTGTGAGTCTGAGCCACTCAGTACCTCCTACAACATCTAAGAATCAGTTTTGCATTTTTTTCAGCTTAATAGTATGAAATCTATAGGGCTTTCACTTATGGGGATCTCTGGTGGCACAGTGGGTAAGTGATTGGTTGCTAACCAAAAGGTAGGTGGTTCAAACCCTTGCCTCTTCATGGGAGAAAGGTGAGGCAGTCTGCTTCTGTGA